AGCTACCTGACAACACAGAACTGCTTCGTCTTCTTGGGTCTCTGCTGCTTCAGAAAGGGCAGGAGACACCTTCCCTTCTTCGGGATCCATGGGTAGAAAGTGCAAAGAGTTAAGTGCAAAGACAAACAAACAGATATTTGCACAAGAGTTTGTACAGTGTATTTGAAAGTCTCTTTCTAGGAGGAACAACTCCTTTGCTATTGCATCTCCTGAAGGCATAGCAAGCCTTGAAACTCTGAACATCTGCACAGACCGCGCTAAGCCGTGCTTTGGTTATCTTCTGTTACAACAAAGATTTCCTACTCCTTGTCGCACACGCACTTTCAGATGGCTCTTTGTAAACTCACAACTGTCCCACCCGAACCCCCGCACGCTGAATTGCTTTACGGTTCCCATTCCGCTTGCTCTCCTTGCAATCTTTGCCTTGTTAGACTCTGCAGGTATTTTATTTTAACACGACTGTCCAGCTGCTCCGCAGCCTCCCTGCTCCCCAGATTTCCGTTGCTCTTTTAAAGGACTCTGTAGAAAGTTGTGCTAACAGATGCGCTATACTGGCCAAACAACAGGATGTTGTAAATGTCCAACTACTGTGTGCTTTTCATATGGATATGCTAATGGGCACACTATCAGCACACAGCTGTAAATGCAAATAACAGAGCACAGGCTGAGCATCTTTTATGGATGTTTAACCACCTTCTGTCTTGTAAGAGACCAGCTCCCTGCTATTTGTAAGATAAAAAGCGAATAGCTCACCTCGTGTCAATGCTGTGTAAATCAATTAAGACAATAACAGCACGGTACAGAGGCACTGCTAAGGCTGGCTCCAGAAAAAGCCTTTAAGTCACCGATGGACTTTCTGATCTTCTCCATGGGCTTTCTGATCCGCTCCGCAGCGTCTGCCAGTTAACTGCACACACTTGGAAGACGGGTTTTATTTAACTCTGTTACAAGGATTTTTTTTTTAAAACAACAACAAAGGTATGCCCCAGTAAACTCAACAATCAAGAAACGTTATGGTTTAAAAGTTTTAAAGGGCCAAATTAATCTTATCAAGCTGCGGATTTTCTAGTCATCCACCACTCCAATATCCCCACCTAAAGTTAACAATAACAGTGCCCAGTGGATTTAATGACATTCCTGGCACCCTGGCTCCTGGGTTAAACCAGGGGTGCCAATGCCCATGGGCACATGGGTGTCTATCTGCCATAGTCCCATCGAGTAATTGGATTCACCTTATCATTACTTGAATGCAGAAGGAGGTCTGCTCTGTACAACAACTACTTTTGTGGTTCATCCTTTTGGCCTCCGATTCACCAATTCCCTTTCAGTGCATACTGAATCCCAAGATATTTCACAGGTAAAGCTTATCAGAGTTGCAGGTACATTAGCAAAAAAATAAAGTATTCCCAGTTGTAACACTTCGTGTTTCACGACAAGTTATACCAACTGGGATTGTGACTACTGATGCTTTCCTCAGGAGGGTCTCTACGGCACAGGTAAGTGTGTTACCGAATGTCACCTTGGTCAGGATGTTTCAGCGTCCACCAGCTTCTCTGGTTGTTTTACCGCTCCATCTGACTGTACTGCTAGCTAAAAACAAGAGAGAATCACCCCTCTGCAGCCATCATAACTACAAACGAGGCCAAATTCTGCTGGCAGAAATTACATTGCTACTCTCTCAAATAACTGCATAGCAGAATTTGGCTGAAAACAAGAAAAATAATGCAGCAAATATGGTTTTAAGGAGTCGAAATGGCTTCAGTCATATGAAACCAACTGCAAATGAAAATGTTTACTTATGATTTTTATTGGTGTGTACTATATGTTGTTACACGAAGTTAATTGCTGTAATGGTGTGGGAGATGATGTAGCAAGATAATCTGAAGAGGTCAGCTGTCATGAGAGTCCATATCTGTAGTATGAAATATCAAAATGGTATTTAAGACTCCTATTGGACATATATATGCACTAAAAGATTTTAGACACCTCTTTTAGCAAAAGATCACATAAATTTGAATTAGTTATAAAGTTCCTAGCTATCTGCAATTATGACTTTTTAATTGGTACAAAAATGAATTAATTAAAAAAGAGCCGCTTTTAGCTTTAATCCATCTGCTTGAAACCACCGAGCTGTACTATGACGCAGACACAAATATTAATGACCAACTGGCAATAGGATAATGAGTCAATAAAGATTTTAAATGGTGTGAGCTAGAACAATTACCAACCTAATAGGCAGGTAAATAAGGCTACTTGACTTTACCCAAGGAAAATTATTATTCTTAACCACTTACATTGAATGACCTGAACAAAATGGTTTTGGTTTTTTTTTCCCTTCTTGGCACTTTTCCATCCTCACTTCTGCTGTCCCCCATTTCCACAGCTATGACCACTGCTTCTCCATTGCTTATTGACATGAAACTCCTCAGTGCCCCCATATGCTAAAAACAACCACCACGTTCCCTGCACACTCCCTAGGAAACAAGCCTCGTGCACGGAGCTGCAGAGAAGCGCCACGGCCATTTCCAGTATTTCAAGAGAAAGCCCATAATGTCTTACATTTAGCCCAAGGCCAGAGTTTTATTGTTGTTTCACCAGCATATTTCTGTTAAATTGCAGTTTATGTTGCCTCCATGCAGGAGGTTTCAGCAAACGCAGTGACAAAAGTTATTTAATAACAGCCTGCAACTCGACGGAAAATAAAGTTTAAAAACCTAGGAGAAAAAAAACAATACGTCAAAAGCATCTGGGGAACCGCGATGCAGATATTATTGAATACGTCCTGATTTTTAAAGGAATGATCTGATCTCTGACAGTAATTATGTAGCTGTTGTTATTTATGCTTGTTTTGGCCATGCCTGGAGGCCTCAGCTACGATCCAGGCTGCCCCGTGCTACATGCTGCACAAACTCAGCATGCGCGACTGTCCCAGCAGAAAGTGCCAGCTGGTGAGAAATAAGCGGAGGGTGGTAAGACGTTCTACTGGAAGATGGAGAGCAGAAGACTCTCCTTCACCAACAGACTGACTGGCACAGGCATCAGCCTCAGTAGGGAGCAATATTGCCAGGAGGATTTGAGTGAGACAAGAAGGAAAGCCAGGGAAGTTTAATCCTTGCAGAGGCTGCCCCGGCAGCACCTGCCCCTTTGCAGTCAGCAAACAGGCTGCTCCACACACGCAGGGGAAACAAATGCTTTAATTTTGCTACACGCCTTTTCTCTTAGGGTCCCTCTCGAATCCTGAGCCCGTACCATAGGTATGGAAAAGCACGAGAACAGAAACCACGCTGAAATATTGCATAAGGGGGAGATGGAGGAACGGGAACAGAAGTCATATTTGATCCCTTGGAAAACCCACGTGCCATGGGATTTCAATACGATGTCTTTATAAAAGCGACTTTTCCCTCTGCCTAATTTCACCAAATTCCCTTGGAGCACTGCTCTCCCATCAGCCATCCCGGCACCCGCAGCTCCCTCTGTCCGGCTGGGGCCAGCTGAGCACCACAAATGGGCAGAGAACCCCAATAAGCCTTAAACTTGCTTCAAACGCTGCTTTCTGACAGTGCTTGAAACTTTGATCCTGCAGATGAAAACAGAAGATTCAACTGATGACACTTTATGTGCCTGCTACACATATTTCAAGAAATATGAACAAAGACATAACTAAAACAAAAAAACAACAAAGCAGCAGCACAGACTTCTTTTATTATCAGTACATTTGGATCTTCTCCAGTTCTGCCTTCTCCATGGTGGTTCCACCAACATTTAGGCACGTATTTAACTAAACTTACAGGATTAATTTTAGTGATTTCAATATTTCTTCCTGCATATTTCCCTGCTCGATAAAGCACTCGCCACAAGTGTGTCCATGCTGGGTGGCCCCAGAGGACAGAAGCCGCAGAGGTGCTCGCCAAGCAGGCCGTCAATGTTTCACACGCGTTCAGTATTTAGACATTGAAAGCATTTCAAGTGGGGTACACGCAGCAGCACTCGCCACGTGAAACGGAGCTCAATTTTCTGCAGCAGGTTAGCGAAACATCACACAGAGCCAAAAGGCTCTTCCAGAAACCCACGACCTCCTCCAGCAGGGCAGACCCATGAATCAGTACCTGTCTTTAAACAACGATGGCCCTGCAGCCATTGCTCTCCCCCAGCCCCATCCTGCTCCTCTGGTCAAGCAGGGCTGATACAGACACACTGGCAAGTCAACCTAGTTAATTAAGTTAAATAAATGAAATCACTGACTGCTTAGCAGTGGTTACTTAGCTTGTGTTAACATTACCCAGCTCCAAGCGAGTGTGCTCACTGCCTGTGGGCACTGATGAGTAACTTGCCAGGACAACACTTTGCTTTTGAGTCACTTACAAGCTGGGCAATCATTAACTGCAGCGCTGAAATTCTCCATTTCTGCTGGGTTGCAAGTTCTCTGCAGGAAGTCCCAGCTAACCCGACAGCAAAGCTAATCAATTTACAGAAGGACCATACCGGTGCGGGCAATATTTTAAAACTGATTGCTGGTGGAACATACCAGACCCCTGTATACTGCCTGCTCTTGCTACACGTGCGACGACGACAGTAAATACAAAACCAGGCGGGATGCGATGTGTCCGCGCTGCTCTGGGCTCCTTTCCCCACCACCCCAGGGACAGCAGATGTGCAAACTCAGCAGACCCCCTCACAGTTTAAATAAACCTAAAAAATACCAAGGTGAACCAAAACGTTCACGTCTGCGGTCCTGCCCCACTCAACTTTACGCAGCAAACCGGGGGGCTGTGCAGTCGGGGTGGTTTTAAACCCCGATCCTCGCTCGCCTTTGGGTGTAACGCCAAAGCCCCAGGCCCACACCGGGGGTGCCGAGCCCGCAACGCCATGTTCTGGGGTCCCCCGCCGCCCCGGGCGGCCCCTCACGCCGCCGGCCCCGCCTCGGCCCCGGCCTCCTCCTCCTCCTCCCCCGATGGGGGGTCCGGGGCCGGGCCGTGCTCCGCCAAGTCCTCGGCACCCACCTGCGCACCGCCTCCGCCGAGCCGGCGATGGGCACCCCGCCGTCGCCGCCGCTGTCGTAGAGGACCCCGCTAACGTCCAGCAGCAGCCCCCGCACCGCCCGCGCCCAGGCCGCCATCTCCCTCCCGCCCGCCCCGCCGCGCCTCGGGCGCTGCTGGGAAATGTAGTCCGGGGGGAGCTGCGGTTAAAGCCCTCAATTCGTTCCGCCCCCGCACCGCCTCTTAGTCAATTTATTTTTTTTTAAACACCTGAGGCAGGTGGCTGCGTGGACCAAGTCTGGTTTATCCCAGGCGATGGCAGGAGCGCGGCAAGGGCCCGGCGTCTCCATCCCTCCGCCACACAAGGGCAGCCCCGCCAGTCAGCGAGGGCCAGGCTGCGTCCCTGTGCCACCATAAACCCTCTCAGAAGGGAGAACTTAGAATCACAGAAGCGTTTAGGCTGGAAAAGGCCTTTAAGGTCATCAAGTCCAACCGTTAGCCCAGCACCGCCAAGGCCACCACTAAACCATGGCCCTAAGCACCACATCTCCCCGGCTTTTAAATCCCTCCAGGGATGCGGACTCAACCCCTGCCCGGGGCAGCCTGCGCCAGCGCTTGACAGCCCTTTCGGTGAAGAAATTTTTCCTTGTATCCAATTTAAACCTCCCCTGGCGCAGCTTGAGGCTGAAACACGTGCATCACCTGAGTCAGATGCTGTCGAAAGTAAAGGCAACTTACGTGTTTTCTTCAATATTCATAAGGCTTTTGTCATTCCTGGAAGGGCTCCAGACCCTCAGCGATACCTCTGCAAGAGGACCCCGGGTCTTGATTTGGCTCTGACTTTTCCGAAGCGACGAGAAGCTGGGCGCGTTTCCATCCTGCCGTTTCCCTCGGGAGCGCAGTGGGATGGCCGCCGGTGCGAGGGCGGATTCCCGCGCCGCTCCCCTGGCCGCTGCAGAGCTGGGGTTTGCCGAGCACCCCGTACCGCACCCCGCACCGCCCTCGGTGCCTCTCTGGGTCGGTCGGAACCGAAGCAGGACAGGATTTGGCCTGTGGGGACCACGGCGCTGATCCGCACGGCAGAAGAAGCCTGACGAGACCCACATTTCGCCGAAACGCTGACAGGGCCATGCCCTGCCTTGACGGTGTCTTCTCATACATGCCCGGCGCTTCATATAGCCAACCGAGAAAAAACCACTGGCTCGTCATATCAGGAATTGAACCGATTCCCTGCGTTTTACAATCACAGATAAGATTTTATCAACGGTGTTCCAGCTTTACAGATAATATTGTTTTCTCCCTCGATAAAGTCCAAATACTTTCTTATTGCTAATACCATCAATAGCGTGCCATGACTCCCAGAATATATAAGGAGCTGTGGTGGAATTATAGTCCACTTTTTTTTAAGAAAAGCAGAGCAGCCTTGGCAGCATTGATTTGCATCACCATTTCTGGAACAGCCTCTGGCTTCTCCTTAAAGATAATATCTAAACTGTGAAATTCATTAAATAGACCCAGAAATGGATCGGGTTATTTAAAACAACATCACTAATGGCGCAATCTCTCAGCTGTCTCCACCGATAGTGAACATTGTCTCGGATAGTGTTATCAGTCCAGGACACCCGCTATGAATATTGATCCGCAGCTTGTTACAGCCATCACTTGCCGTCAGGACAGGTCAGGGTTGAAACCCACCTAGCATCAAAGCAATTTAAAGACAGCACTCGGGGTGAATTTTAATGCTTGAGCTGGGAAACCAACTTCAAACAGACTGCTAAAAGTAATCCACGAACGTGTGCTTTTTTGTGTGTGCCTTTCTACACACATGCATGTTTGTAGGTCGGTGTGCATGCACGTGTTAAACCCACAGTATTTGCAGATGTCTGCTAGCTCACAAATTAATCTCAATGCTACAATTTACCTCCTCAGCTCCTGCAGACACAACAACTCAAACAGAAGTATTTGTAGTCTCACGTACATCAGATTAGATTATTTTTTTCTTTCAAACACAAAAAATCTCTGGTGCTGCCAAGGCTTGCGAGCAGTCTTAAAACAGAGAGCCATGCACTTATTTACCATATGACAATACCCATGATTTCCCCACGTAGTCTGAAACTAATGTTGTGCCACAAAAAGAATCTCGTTTCGAAAACGTTAACAGGATCCGCGCTAAGACTTCATATCCATTTTCTTTATTTGATCTCACTTCTGAAGCATGCTGCCCAGCAGCTGCAACTGCTCCTCTCCTTCCTTCTCCTTCTTCTGCACCCCAAGGAACTTCAAATACATAAGCAATACTTAACTAGCACACAGCCATGTTTTCCAGTTCACCACCACCTTCATTTTCATGCAGGGTGCATCCCCAAAACTAAGCTTTATCGGTCTGCGGCTCTGGTGTGTGAACTCCTCGGGACGGAGCTCCCTTCTCTTCTACACGTGTGCGGTATCCCAGACCAGAGGCCAGTGCCAAATGGGCTCTTGGATGCTGCCGCCGCATAATTAACAATAACAACTACTTGTAATCACATCGCCCTGCATTTCATCATCTCATCTTCTTGCTCTCCCATTATCTTAAGGCCTATTCCTTTGCAATGGCAAACAGAAAGCCCGATTCTGCTGAGGCCGAGACACCTGTAAAGAGGAGGATGGCTGCGGTCTGCACCTTTTCCTAGGAATAAAAGCAGGAGGGGGAGCAGATTCCCACCAAGGGCTGCCTTCCCTGGCCTCCTCTGGTGCCCCTTCATTGACACCTCATCCTGATTCACGGAACCAACACAACGTAGAAACGCAGAAGAGAGGGGAAAGCCTCCCCCTGAACAGATACAGATGTACAGAAATACACTGCTAGCCAGTTTTCGACAAGCGTGGCTGGCTACGAGTGGCCATGGCCATGGGACTGGTGCAGGGTGGAGAGGCTTGACCTGCTGCTGCCTCCGCTGTCCCAGCGACCGGTATGACCAGGCAACGAGGCATTTCCACTCAAGGCAAGCAGGGTTAGTCAGGGGGCTGCTCAGTGGGGCAGGTACTCCCCCGCTGCAGGCGTGCCTCAGTTTCCCTGCCTATGACCTGGGAACAGCGTGAACACCGCGGGTGAGATGCAGGAGTTAGGGCCAGCCCTTGGCCTGGAGCCTGAACCCGCCTGACCCCGAGCTGCCCCAAAATGAGAAGCCGCTCCTTTCTCCCTGTGGACCACACAGCAGCATCACATCTGAAACGGCGGCCGCTGGCAGAGGGAGCGCTTCAAGCCCGGAGCCCGCTCGCCGCACAGAGGGATGCGGGAGCCACCCTCTCCTCTCTGGGTCCCTCTGAGACGCCGGGCTCGCCCGGCTGGACCACCCCTGGCCCGGGGGAGCTGCAGGTGGGTCAGCGAGGGGCCGGGGGCAGCGCCGGGGGACGGC